CTATTGGGTGCATATGTGTTATAGATGAACTGAATCATGCAAGTCTAGTGATTGATTGTATTAGAAAATGGTTGTTTTTGTGTTACCATATTTTAAATTCGATGCTATGGGAACTATTGACAGCAGACCGATTTGATTATAAACAATATTTGAACGTTTACCTTTGACTAATCAGAATATGTATTATATGAGAGATTAGTTGCTTCAGTATTACCTTTGCTGTCATGGGATTAATAGATAGGTTCGCTTTATATTCTTGATGTCTTTTGAATAACTTTCAATGACTTTGATGAATCACTGAACCGAATACTGAATTGAACCGTGAACTAGTACATAATTGAGAAATGAATCGAACTTCTGTAACAAAGGGGAATGGATCGAATTTCCGTGATAAGGTTGGTGAGAAAGAATCCGCTTGCAAAAAAGGAGAATGATATGAGACCAAAGTATTTGATTTGTTTCTGATACGAGGTATTCTGAGTTATTTCCGACGCAAGGTAATGTAAGTTTGGAGGACCAAACTTCTCAAAGGAGAGAAGACTGTGACGATCCCAATATGCATATTATGATTATATTTATTTAATTATGGGTTAATTATTAATTGTGTTATGTGCCATGTGATTACTTTGAGTATATTTTTTCAATTTGAAAATTATCTGTTGTGATTTCTGCTTTGGATATAAAATTGATGGCCTTAATGGTTTTAGAAACCGAAATTGACTATATGAATAGACTAATTGAAATTTTTAGAATCATTTGGTAAATTTAATTAAAAATTGATTCAGTTTGATAAATTAAGTTGTGTTTAACTAGTCTAATGTTCTAATTATTATACTAAGCCACTCTAGATATATAAATGAGCCTTAAGCTCATTGGAGCTCATTTTCTCTTCACTTTGAGTGCAAAAATATAAGGAAGAACTCTAGAGAGAGAGAGAGAGAGAGAGAGAGAGAACTCACATTCTAGAGAGAGAAAGTGAGATTTTCGAGAAGAACCTGGAGGTTTAGCTTGAATTGATCAACATTGTGCTAGAACATGTGTATTTAAAGACTCTAGGTAAGAATTCAACTCTTAATTCTTGAAGATAATGTGTTCTAGAGTTGAGTTCATGGGTAATATATGATCTTTTGCATGTATTTTATTTATAGAAGTCAAGAAGATGAAGAAACTTTACATGCATGCATGAATATGTTGAATTTTGTTGAGTTTGAATTCTAGCATCCATATGAATTAATTTATACATGCATGTTTCATTCATCATGTGTTGACTCTTAAATTCATGTTTTGGAAAAGAGTTTTGTACATACATTGGGCTTTTGAGCTCAAATTTGTTAAATTCATGAGTTTTGAGAAAAGAACTTGGAAAAAATTACATGCATGAGTTTTTGGGTTCAATTTTGGTGGATTTAAAGTGATTTTGAGCAAATGATTTTTGAGGGGTCATGTATACATGTTTTCCTAAAGTTTGTAATGAGATTAATAAAATCAATCACAATATCTTGTGGGGGCAATGGGGAGAGAAGGATGGTACATTTGGTTAATTGAAACCAAGTATGTAAAAGGAAGAAGGATGGGGGACTGGGGATAAGGAGAGTGTAGCTCGCTTTTCGCACTCCTTTTAGATACGATAGCCCTATAGTTTGGACTCCCGTGGTTCTGAATTTGATTCCACAAGTGTAATGTAGAATAGATAAACACAAATGAGTCCAAATCCGGCAAATCTTTTAGAAAATCGATTTTGAATCAAATAATGCCAAAAACGGACTACTTTGTCAGATTACAAAGTCGCCACTTAAATATTTTTAAAAAATTTAGGAAACTCGAGACTCGTGCCAAAGGCGAGTTATCCTTCATCACCAAAGTGTCTCAGCTCGGGAACTTAGGTATGAGTGGGGAAAGTCATGAATTGAGCAACCCACTCACTCGATCAAAGATCGATCTCTACTAATCATGATGTGATTCTTATTTACCTTATATGTTCTTGTTCCAATTATTAGACTAACATTACTATGTGTTGCACACAAGTATAGACTAATTTGCAAAAAAAATTGAAATACTTTGATTTCATGTTTGTTTTGAAAATTGTTTTGAATACACGCCACTTGAAAAAGTAAGTTTGTATGTACAATAATCAATTTACTCCAATTCAAGTAATTAACCTTCATCCACAGGCATTTAAACAAGTATATCACTTAAGCACTTAACCTCATGGAAAATATGCTTGACATGGCAACAACCACACACATGTGATATGCTAAAATAATAAATGTTTACCTAGTACTCCAAGGCAAGCCAAACAAAGAAAAATAGTTAAAAAATATGCGTGCCACCCTAACTTATGCAAAATGACCAACAATTATGCAAGAAAATAGGCTCGGCTACTAGTATGGTATATGATTTCATTCAAGACATGTAATAAATCACGTATTCATTAAGAGAGTTGAATACGACATCGGTTAGTATGATGAGCCGAAACCTTATGTATGCAAGACAAATGGATGCAAGTCTTGGAAAATGCTAATTAAACCATGATGCTTTATTCTATCCATCATAAGCGAGTAAATAAAAGGGAGAAAGACGTGGGGTTGGAAGACATACACATTATTGCAATTTGCCCTCGTGCGAGAGGGTCCGAATAAATATCTTAATACTAATTATTACAATATCAATTAGCTAGTCCTACCTAATCATTATTACAAATTCCACTAAGGAGCTAAATTAACTAAGTACAATGAGTTTAAAGAAAAGTAGGTAATTAAAGGACAACATATTGCTACTAAAGCAATTAAACCAAGAGTATGAACAAGAGACGGAATGCACGTGCATGAATTTAAATTTTTGCCCGAAAACCTTTCTGTTTTGCTACTGGAACCATTCTGTTTTGTACTCAAAAGAAAAGATTTGTTTTGGCTTCCAACCTCTGCTCTGTTCTACCAAAAAAGGGACACTGTTGGTCTAAAAGAAGTGGTCGGCCGGCCAAGAGAAGGTGGTCGGCCAACTAGTTGATGGTCGACCGGCCACTGTTTTAAGGGTATGCCCTACTGCAACAGAAAAGAGACAGAGTACAAACAGAGTGTTTTCAAAGGAGGAGCAGAATCAATTCACAAACCATTAATATGCAAAGTTATTACGTGATGATCAATGAGTCGATGGGACAAAGTTTAATAAATGAAAAAGAAATACCAACAAAACCCCACCCTATCATGATTTTGATCAAGGGAAATGGTTGACTATGAAAGTTGAACCATTTCATTACTAACGAGTATGAAACGACTCAAGGCTCAAGAGGTTCAATTAACGTCCGATTGAACCCAAGTTGGTATTATTATCTTGTTCCATTTTAGACCTAATTTTATTACTTCATTTCATACCTTTCCATTCCTTAGTCATTTTAGTCCAAAAATGATAGTTAAGTCCACTAATGGAGAGGAATGTCAAACTGAGGGTTGTTTTAGGCATGAGAGTGAGATCATGTCGTTGGTAATGAACCTCTGAAGAGAATACTCATTTTGAAGCAATATTCATTTTGATAGTTAAGTCCACTTGGAATGTCACTCCTCAAGTTTAAACAATACTCATTTTGAAGCAACTCTCAAGACAAAGAGAAAAAGCCAAGAAAAGAGGGGGAGTGCAGAGGTGATTAGAGGTGAACACAAGTATGAAAAGCATGAAATAAATGCTATCAACTCAAATAGATTGGTATTTAATGCCTAAAACACCAAACTCATGAGGACTATTATACTACAAGCATGCGAAACAAAGCACAAATGAAATAAATAACCTAAAACAGTCCTAAGACAGCTCAAAACAGCATTGAACTTCACATGGAAAGGCTTGAAAAAGTAAGCTATAACATTTAGGAAAGTAAGCTAGTAAACAAGCACAAGGATGAGAGGCTAACCCCTCCATTTTTGGGACTTCAAAACACCATTTCTAGCCTCTAAAAATCTCTAAAATTCAGTGGTAAAAAGCTTTAAAAAGGTTGATGAAAAGATGGGAAACACAAGGGCAAAAGCTAGAGAGACTAGGGTCAAAAGGGGATGATTAACCCATGTACCTTTGATAACTTTAAGCCACAAGTTTCAACTCATAAATATAGTATAAAAACAATACAAAAATAGCAATGAAAGAGTTATAAGAAGTAGTGTAAGGATTGCACAAATTTTACCTCTTGAAGAGGAGTAACTTTTTTGTTCATAAACCACAAAATATTCACTCTCAAGGGTTGAGATTTGAGCTCAAGAACCTTAGCAAGAAGAGCTAAAAATTTGGTTTAGGAAGTGTAGAGAGAGAGTGTGTAGGTTGCAAGATAGAGAGAGAGTACTATGCAAGTATTGAAGCTTAAGGGATTTTTCTAACCTTATTTCCAAGAGAGGTGCTCATGTATATATAGGAAAACATGAACCTCAGTCAGAAATATCCACATAGAGACAGCTGGTGCAGTGCATGCACCTAGGGAGACAGCTAGTAGCAAAATATTTACCAGTCAGAAAATATGTCTAGCCAGCCATGAAATGGACGGCCGACCACTATATTTTGGCCTGCCGGCCATCTGTTAGCCTACAGGCCTCTGGATAGTCCAGTATGGTTTAGGTATGAAACAGACAGATTTTTGGAAACCAAGAAGTATGTGCACAATTCTAGGCTCTGAAGTTTGGAAAACAGAAACTCTTGCTGAGAAACTTAAGCGTACAAAACGTAACATTTCATCATCGAGTGATCAACCTACAGCGCCTAAGTCTTAAAGACGGTCAAAAATGGGGTGTCTACAGAGAGATAAGGATCAGAACCTAGCTCTATTGTCCAAGTTTGAGATAGAATATGTTAAAAGATAATGATAAGTTGTGGGTGAAGGTGTTTAGAAATAAATACCTTGGAAATGAGTCTCTGCTTATCAAAAGCAAAGGCAGAACTTCCTCTCATGTTTAGGAATGTATCCTCTCCAAAGATATCCTCTCCAAAGGGATTAAATGGAAAATTGAGGGAAATTCTAAGGTCAGGATATGGGAAGAGTGGTGGCGCAGGGAGCAGGCTCTAGCTGCTTTAGATCCTAATACCACCAATCTTGACCTTGCTCTTGATTATGTTCTTGTGGAGGATCTGCTTGATGAAAATGGGGAATGGGACCTTAATGTTTTACAGACATCATTCCCACCCTAGACTATTAGAACCATATTGGAAATCCAACCTCCCAAATATTCCCTCAAGAAGGATCAGTCGATCTGGATGCACTCTAATGGTGGTGAACACTTAGCCTGCAGTGCCTATGACCTCATTGTTAGTCAACCAAGCCAGGAGGGTGACTGGAATTGGATATGGAAGCTCAAAATTCCACAGAAACTCAAAAGCTTCTTGTGGCTTGTGCTTCTAGGGAATTTGCTGATTAATGATATGAGGAAAATTAGAGGTCTTACTAAGGACTCAAATTGCCCTCACTGTAATAAAGTGGAAGACTTCAATCACCTTTTTCATAACTGTGTTAAAGCAGAATCTGTCTGGATTTCTATCTTTAATAGGGAATGGTACTTGTCCATGCTTGGGAAATTTGTTAATGACTGTATTCGTTTTAATTCTAAAAAGAAAAACAATGAATCTATTTTATTTGTAATCACTCTTTGGATCATTTGGAAAAACCGAAATAGGAAGATTTTTAAAGGAAAAAATCCTAATGATCAAGAGAGTGTGAAAAACATTCTTGAGTATTCTAGAGAAATTTCCCAAGCTTTTCCATGGGCATTACCACTCCTCTCTTATCTAAAAGTCTAGCAACTTGGTCTTGCCCTAATGCAAGAAGGATTAAACTAAACGCAGATGGATGCACTAGAACAACATCAGGATTTGGAGGATTTTGAGGACTATTTCACGATGAAAAAGGAGCATGGATATCCAGGTATTATGGCAGACTAAAGAGATGCACAAGTCTTGAAGCAGAACTGTGGGCAGTGTATAAGGGATTGACAATTCTTCTTCAAAGAGGAATGAACAAAGTCATAGTGGAATTAGATGTAGAGCAAGTCATGTCTTTACTCATTGATGGGTCGGATGACAAATGCCTTTTCAAAGGACTTGTACAAGATTCGAGAATCATTTTGAGAAGATGTGAATGCACTATCCAATATGTTGGAAGAGAAGGAAACATATGTGTGGATGCACTAGCTAAATTTGGAGCTAATCAACCGGAGGACATGCTAGTAGTCAATGACCCACCGACTGAAATTCATAGTTTGCTTGTGACAGACGTTATGTATCTGTCTGGAGAAAGGGCCTCGTTGCCTTGTTTTGTTTTTTTTTTTTATTTCCGATGTACCAAAAAAAAAAAATGAGCCGGACTTCCCTCTTCTCTCTCTCTCTTGCTCCTCCATTTTCTCTCTTTACCTTCTCTCTTCTCTCTATCCCTCTTCCCCATTTTCATCTTTTTTTTTTTTTGTGTTTTTTTGGAACTTGGGTCATCTGAATCTTATCCGACCCGGTTAGACCGTCCTAGTATTTTTGCAGTCCATGCAATCCGCTCGAGCGACCAAATGGTGGCTCAAGCAGTCAGGCCATTTTTAGCATATTTTGATACGTTCGTCTATGTTCATATCTTTGTTCTCATCTTCTCCGGAGCATTTCTTAGCACAAATTATGACCCATACTTGTGAATGACTCCAGGACATAAATGGTATCTATGTGTTTGTTTTCGGATGTGAGTTATTAATGTATGAATAATCTATTTCCTTCATAGAATACACTGTTCATTGGACAAAATTTATTAGTCTGCTTCCGTTTCTAGCCTCATTATTAATTAAATATATTTGTTAATTCTGTCTTTGAGGCTGTGTAATCTAAGATTACTGATCGCTTACGGTCCAGATCTTTAGGGGCGAGTTCGAATTGTAACATGACATTTGAACAAATAGATGAAATTTCGAAAGATAAACAAATAAGCTTTAGACATATAGGTGTCATTTGGGCAGATTAATGTCATTTTGGCTGTTACCTTTTGATTAGACCACACACTTCCTTCAGATTTTGAATCTGCTCTTTCTCTTTCTTAGTTCGTTTTGGCCTTATCTTTTCTCTATTCCAAAAAACAAAAAAAAAAAAAAAATCATTTTAGTTATAATATATATATATATATTTAACCTTGGAACTATTGGCTCAAAAGTCGCAAAAATAAACATCTGCCTTGGTACCCAAAGAGAAATGCAAACTCAATTCGATGTAGAAACGAACTTTGGGACTACCTTTATATAAGCACAGTGGTGGCAGTTTGGAACCGTCAAAAAGTGATGACGCAAAGAAACGCTGTTGGAGAATATAGAGAAGATCACCGAAACGTCATGACTGTTCATCGGAGAGGAGAGAATTGCTTTTTTCCGGCTGAATTTGAAATTTGAAAAAGAATTTTCTTGTTCACCCTAATTACATATTCTTGTTCACCCTAAGGAAACGAACACGTTATCACTCGGACACACCGATAATTATGTGTTGGTCTTAGATTAATTTCAGCTCAAAATTGCATAAAATTATTGGTGTAAAACAATTTTTCTAGCACAATTTTCTTGAGATTTTCATTTATATGACACATATTCTCTCCTTCATTAATAATTCGTTAGTCAAACAAATTGAAAAATAATATCGTTATCATTTTTATGCTAATATATATATATATATATTTTTTGTTGATCATTATGTCTTTATACCATCTGTATTATTTTTGTTGTATTTAACATTACAAAAAGAAAAATTAATGTAATCATATCAAAATTATTAGATTTATTATATTTTTTTTTAAATCTCATGAGTGACTAGTGTAATTTACTTTTTTATTTATTATTATCTAATGAGTAATGCTAGGTATCATGAAAATAATCATGTAAAATTTTTCATCGTTAGATTACATATATAAGAAAACACCACACACTAATCAAAGAATAAAAAAATTTCATGAAATATTTCATGATATTTTTTTCATAATTCCTAATAATACTCTTATCTAATATATGAGTTCATTGAGCAAGTTTTGGATTGTAATATGCTTTTACAATCGGATTGGATATTTAGGCCCATTTCAAACCGGTTGAAGTGGAGTAACATATTTTTTTTATTTTTGTTGTTTTTTTCGAACTTGGGTCATCTGAATCTTATCCGGCTCGGTCAATGTTGTATCACAAATACCCATCTCATTATGTAGAAAATAAATTTCCACATCATTTTATATAAAATAAATTTGTATGTATGACATTACATTATTTTAAATAAATTAGTAATTATAAAACACAACTTGTGGTGTGAGGCAGGTTCAACTCCTATGGATTGAAATTTGATACTTTTTATATTGATTTATCTCTCCTCATTATGGAGTTATATTGGGCTTGGTATATTAGGTTGTTAGGCTTTTGTGACTTTCTAACTATTGTAAATTAGTAAATTATTTGATGATATAAATATTTGGGGGATGCATCAATAAATTTCAAATTAATAACTTATACACTGTTTAGTCCTAAAAGTTTTCTTATAGACTGAAAGGTCCCATTACAATGTTTCAAATATCATATTAATGTTTCGAACATTAGATTTCGAACATCAGATTAATGTTTCGAATATTAGCTTTCGAATATCAGATTAATGTTTCGAACATTAGATTGATGTGTAAATGGGACTAAATGAAGCATAAGAAAACTTTTAAGACTAAATGGTTCAACTTTTCAGAATCTAGGACTTATGGGTAAATTTTCCTAAATATTTCTCATATTTGTAATTGCTCTCTTATCGGTTGATAAAAAAATAAATAAGTAAATTACAAATACACCCCGTATGATTCACCTAAAATACAAATTGCCCCTATAGTTTGGAAAATTACAAATATTTTTTTATCAGAATTTTTTATTTAACAGAATTAATTAAAAATGTGAAATTCCTAACTAAACTCCTATATAATAATAAAATTACTTGAATTATTAATTGAAATATACTTTTGACATCATTAAAACTTGCTAATTAACTTGATGGTTTATTAATAAAATAGGTTATTTGTTATGAAATTATAAACTTAAAGGGGCAGGATGTAATTTTCTACACCACATGAAGTAATTCATATTTTAAGTAAAATTCAAAGAGTGTATTTGTAATTTATTAAAAAAAAATTACTTTAACCTAAAAATCCAAATAATCTGTATCTTGAATTCTGACATGCATGTATATGAACAATTAAAACTCACAGATCAGTGGACAACTAAAGCCTATACATCCCGGGGACTACAATCATGGTTGGACCATCTAGTGTGGTACCATTGTAGCTTGTTTGCTTGCTTTAAAAGGGTATTTTGAGTACACTGGTCTTCCCAAAATCATCGTCAACAGGACTCCATTGCATATTTATAACTAAGCATGGTCACTTTTTCGAAGAAAAAAAAAAACTACTATTGAATCATCCTAATTATATATATGGACAAATTATATCAGTAGTCATTATATTTTGATTATTGTGTCATGTTGTTTCTTTTAATTTTAATTGGTTCAATTTTTACTCTGAATTTGTAATTTTGTCTCAATTTGATCTAATTAATTTCAATTTTTAGTATTTTTTATATGAAAAATGAGCATATAAGCCATATGTTTTATATTTGTACTAGTGTAATATCCGTTCTATGCACAGTTTCAAATAAATATTAAAATATTAATTTTAAAATTAAATAGTAAAAAATTAATGGGACAATTACATGACAGTGTCAGGAAAAAAATTATAAATTAATAAAGAAATTTATAATATTAATTATTAATATTTATATTATTTTTCACTTGTTAGTAAATACATTTTGCTAACACCATGTCAAAGTAAATCTCCCAAAATTAAAATACCCAAAAAAAATTAGAATTAATTAAATTTTAACTATTTTTATCACAATTTCACCTTCTTCTTTTTTTTCCTACCATTGATGCTATATTTTAAGTTCTAAATAACAAATACATGAATCATAATGTAATTATAGTAAAAGTTAAATAAAAAAAACATGGTAAATTATAAAATTGCACTTTTTTTTAGAAACAAAAACTACACTTATGATAAAATATAAATACATTATTATTTTCTAAGGGTTTCATAATTTTAGTTTGACATATATTAGATTCATATGAGGATATAGTACACTATGTGTATATATATAATAATTATTTCT